AGCGGCCGGGAAATACTTGATTTATAAATTATGTTAGTTCAAAATTACTTTGGAAAATATCAAAAGAAATTGTACATAAAATATCAGCTATAATTTAGTGTGATACAGATTTTACGAAAAAATTTTTTGAATACGGCCATTAAGTCGAAACAAAAATGTTCCAAACAAGAGAGTAAATTTATTAACTTTAATGTAGAAGAATCTGATTAGACAATATCAAAATGTATAATATTTTTACATTATGATTATTTCTCGTGTCAAATATCATACATACATACATGCATAAATAATATTAAATGACAAAACGACAAATTTTTTAAATTTGTTCTTCTATCAAAATAAAATCGGACACTATCTTCAAGAAAAGTTATTGCAAGAAAAGGAACTTCGATTAAGAAAAATAAACATGAGAATGCGAAAAATAAGATGAAAAAAAAAATAAGTTGGAAAAGTTTATTTTGTGTCTAGTCAGGATAAAAAACTTACACATTATGGGTATGTATATGTCTGTACATCAGAATGTGTTTCTTATAATAATATTAAAATATTTTTTTTATTCTAACCATTTTATATGGTATATACTTCGTAGTACCCACAATACTGTATTAAAAAAAATAATAAGAACAGGTGATCCCCACGAGAATCTTAGATTAAATTGCGTTCTTGAAAAATGCAATCTAAAGTAATGAAGTCTCTAAGAAATCTTAAAGGCAACCTGTAACGAATTTGAACTATATTTCTGAGTTGGGCTTTAATGATGAATAATATTGTTCTATTTAGAAGTAAAAATATTATAGGGAAATTACGAAATGTTATTAATTCTATAATTTCTTTATATTAAAAGATTTTTCCAGAAATTATTGCAATTTATGAAAAATTGGCTTACTGTTGCAATAAAACTACCTGAGTCAGATTTGATATATGTAAGTACGAATAAATCAACTTTATAAGTTCAAAGTAAATTTTAAAAACATTTGAAGAATTGTAAGGGCAGCATTGTAATCTCGAATTACGAAATTTTACAATTTCAAAAAATATTCAAAGGTGGCTGTACACTTTCAGTTGACAACTGTCTGCATTTAGAAAGAAAATAAAATTCTCATTTCATCTATAAATTACCGATAGTTCTTAAATTTTGGACGGCAGTTGATACTAAGCAATAACATTCACAATACTATTATCAAGTAGAATACTATTATCATTACTTTTTCAAAAACACATTTTTCTATAGCTTTCTATAGGACCAAAATTTCAATAACACAATTAGAAGAACTCGGAATTGGATTAAGATTAGAAATTTTTATTTATATACTTTATATGTACAAGTATTCGATTTTATGTTAGGAATTCTGTTTTCAGCTTTTATTGCCATTCAAGTATTAAGCAATTTCAATTTACTTTCATTAATTTCAACTAACATTTCCGTAATTGCTTTCATAACACGTTCGCGGACGCTAGAAATTTCAGGGAGCTGCAAAAATACACTAACTAGAGTGACATGAATTAAATGAATAAAAATTGGCTTCAAAATTTGAATGCAATAGCATTCTCGTCATCTTACATCACTATGAAAAAGAATGCTATAGCATTCGTGTCCGCAAACGTGTTAGTAAACTTTGAACTATAATACAAATAAAGGATTTCTTTCCAAGTCATACCTTGGTAGAAATATTTGTCGCCGTCCTATACATATCATAACTATATTAGATTTGAACCTATGTTGAAGCATCTGTGAATGAGTGACGCAATATGATAGAATACTTTTTCTTTGGACCAAAGTCTTTGCTAACTATGGGTGTATTAAAATGGTAGCACTCTCTACATCAAACACTCATTTACACTCATACGTTCTTCTTTCGATTATTGTTCATACACTCAAGTACCTATATTATGAATGTATATGTGTATAATTCCTTCATCTACAAAATATACCCTGAATTGGTATATAAATTATTAGAAAAGGATCTTGTATTATTAGTTGTTATTGATTTGGTTTCTTATTTTTTTTTTTTTGGAAGAGAATCAAAAAAGAAAAAAACATAAAGGAAATCTGTTTAGGAAAATATAAAAGTAAAATTCGATTTTGTCTTTTTTTTTCATTTCGTTGGGTGTTGATGATTACAGTAAACAATATGAACACAACAGCAGCAGAACGAGAAAATTAGGAAAAATAAAACAAATTTCATTTTTTTGAATTAACAAAAAAAAAAAGGAAGAAAAGAAAAACATAGAGATTTTTCCCTCTACATAAAGGAAGAAGAACAAGAAAAATTTATTGTTCTAGGAAAATTTTCAATATACGAGTAATTTTTCACTTTCCTTATTTTTCTTCACATCTAATATTATTTTATAAAATGTCAATAAATTAGAAAGTTAAGAAGGTCAAATGTCAATTTAATTCTTTACGTTCTAATAGAAAGAATGAAAGTTAATAATAAAAAAAAAAAAATTGCTCTCTTTTAATTTTAATGGAAAAATTTAGCTGGCAAAATGAAGACCTTGAAAATTTTTTTTTTATTATTATTTTTTTTTTAAACACAATATGTGATTTGTGATTTTAGATTGAATTTACAATTGTATGCAATTTTTAAAAATTTCTAAAGAAAAAAATAAAGTAATTATCCTTATAATTTTTGATTTAGATTTTTTTCGTTTTTCTTTTTTTTTGTTGAAATGAGTAGTAACCAAAAAATAAGAGGCACTCAAGTGTTTGTTGATGTTTTAAAACTTTGAAGAATTCACAAAGTTATTCTATATAAAGGACTTTATACTTGGGTTACTTATTATTGAGAAATTTAATGAATAATAAGTGTATTGTTGCATTTCAGTATAAGTAAATTAAAATTATTTTACAAAATAATAAAGGCAAACCATGAAAGCGCTCAGAAATAACAACTTGATGAAAATAAATTCAAAAGGAGTTTCTGTAACACATAATGGATTACCTTTGGATGCAAAAGTAAAGTGAAAAAGCAGATTTTGAGAGTAATTGGTCAATGGATGGCTAACGTGGTCTCTCTATAAATTTTCTTTAATTACTTTTCATCATCTAATTTTCTTCAACGTGTTAATTATAATACAATAAAATTAATTTTTTCACAACAACTTAAGAAAAGGAAAATCCTTTGATGTTAATTATGCCAAACGAAATTGTTGTTGAAAAAATATTCCAATTTATTAGTAATCACACTCCTTTATTGAAAAAACCGTTTCAGACTTAGGCGTTTCCTTGGTAGAATCACGATATTTTAATTAAACAATATTGCTTGTATAAGCGACAGCCATATTCATTAGAACTTTTGTATTCCTTCACATTTCTTATTTCAAAAGCGTTATTCACTAGAAAATTAAAATAAATTCGATGAACAAGTCACGTTGCAGCAAAAATTTAATTAAATAAAGGAGATCAGTTAATTGGGAAAGTATATGAATCTGTATTGGTATATAAAACTTAAATCATAAACTAACACCATCAGATGTGTAAAAAACTGCTCCCTCAAAACAAATCTGATGATACTAAACTTGAATTTTGGGATGCTAAGCTACATAAAATATACGATAAATCAAGATTTCTGCCACTTATTACATTTACTTATGAAATACATCAATTATTACATTTACTTTTACTTCCAAGTGAGGTACATTTTGTCTGATTTTAACTTCTAAAGAGTATTCTTCACATACATGTAGTTTTACTTCAGTCTTATATTAAAGCAATGTAACTAACAATCTATTTTGAAATATTTAACAACATTTGAGCCAAATATATTTTAAAATTTCATTTAATGGAATTTCTTCCTCATATTTCTTTTCTTTTCTCCCATAATTGCATAATATTATGTTCTCTTCATATTTCAATGCATCCATTAGCATTAAGTTGTATTCGTTTCTTTACTATAGCTTTGATTTTAACAAAAAAAAAATTTTTTAATGTTTTGTAAATTTCAAAATCAAAACATCTTATAAGAGAAAATGAATGACTATATCGTTACCAAAGTAAAACTTTTACCCAGCTAATACAATAATTATATGTTGGAGCAAAAGTAGTAACCATAAGTGATATAAAAGTAAAATTAAAAGAAAATCAAAGAAGAAAATAGTTAGCGTTGATTATTTTTTCATTTTTATTTTTTCATTCCTTAGGGTCAAATAAATTCCCGTCAATTTGCGTTTCAAAGGAAGCTATACGGTTCCGGTATGTTCCTTAACTTGTTTTTTCGTCTGAATTGTTTGCAATTTTTTTTCTCTAGTTATTTAATAGTTTTTTTATTATGTACTTAAGGTTTCACAGCGCAAGTTTATGTATGAAAATGTTCGTATGTATGTGCCCTTTAGAGAGTATTTAGGGTTGCATTTATACAAGCGTCTGCATTTCTTTTTTGTTTTTTCGTTTTCTTAATTTTCTTTTTACTGCTCTTAATAGTAAAAATAAAGAAAATAAAATTTTTTTTTTACCTATTTTCTTTACATTTTTGTTTTCACATTTTTTTCTTTTTTTTTCATTTTCCATCAGGAAGAGCATATAAAAAATCTGTAAAAAATAGGGGTTCTGAATATTTTAATTTAATGTTATGGTTTACAATTTTAAACTACTTAACATATTAGAACTTTTTTGAATAGAATTTTGAATTCCTTAAAATCTTTAATATTTTATTTATTTGAATATAAAAATTTCATATCAGCTACTTTTATTGCTGCAAAACTATTTGTGGAATTAAAAATAAATGTACGAGGATCGTCTCGATTAAAAGACATACATTCTTAAATTTTCAAAATAATTTTGCGATTCTATGAATTTTATGATTTCATATTCAATATTAATTTCCGCCAGTCTGGAATTAATAAAAATTAATTATTTGAAGACACCAAAAATTGTGTTAATTAAAAATTTAAGGAATCAATAAATTAAATATTCTGCTCTTTTCCGAATTATACTCGTAAAATAATTAAATAACAAATTAAAATGTTTATATGCTTTTGAGTAACATTCCTTCTTTACTTTATTATAAAAAATTGCGTAAAGTTGACATTACACGCATTAAATTTATTATTTTTAATTATTAACAATAATTTCCTATACATTTTCTTCTAAGTACAATAATAATTATTTTTCTTAAATTATAAGCAAAATTTGGAAATCTACAAAGTCTAAAAAAAATATATGCTGCCCTTTTGTATATTATTTACTTGTTGGGACCTTTAAAATAAAACATAATCACTATAACTGAAGTCTTATAATAAAATAATTTAAAAGCAAGAACATATTTCTAAAATGCATCTTTTAAAATAAAGCTATCAATGGTTCTGAAAGCATACAATTATAGAGTTTTAATAAAAATTTTCAATTCTGCACTATAAAAGTAATCTTAGATTGAGTTATAGAAATATTGAAAAATATTTCTTTACATTCATGTATACTGCTTAACAAATTATGTACTATGACGTCTATGACTTATTCATAATTTTTTTAAGTACAAAAATCATAAAAATATTTAAGTAAAAATTACAAAATTTCAATTCTATTAACAAATTGATTATATAAACCAGACAAAATTTATATTCCAAAAAAAAAATATTTACATAATAATAATATTAAAGACACTACGTCTTCTGCCATAGATAATAAATTTTATCCTTTATTGGTGGCAAAGTAAGAAAAACAAACAAAAATAATATTAAAATAATCTTTTTCAATTGAGAGTCCTTGAAATTTTCTAAACGATATAAATTGTATTCAATTATTATATCTGTAATTAATTTTTATTTCTGTATATTTTTTGTTCTGTAATGATGATGATGTCAGATGCTAATTTAAATATAACGAATTCTTTGTATATATAATTATTACAATCACAATTTTTCACGATTATCCTTTTTATATACATATGTATAAATATCTAGCAGAGTATATTATAAATATATACATTAAGTAAATATATTTATACTTATGTATATAAAATTAATTATTATTCAACTTTATGATTTGAGTGTAATACTTGTGAAAGTTGTCTATCTAATTGTGATAATTCTGGTGGATCAAAATTTGGTGTTACTACTATTGGATCAACAGTATTAGTAACAGCACCAGCTGGAACATTAGCTTGTGTTGTTATTTCACCATTTGTTATCTCTTCTATAATTGATGTTCTTGGTGTTGGTGGACACCATTTTAACCATATTGGTGCTAATCGTAACATTAAAATAGCACCAAGTGGTGCTGTAAATATTATAGCAATTACTGATACTATTAATATATTTGATGCTAAAGCTATAACATCATCAGATTCTTTTAATTGTCTAGCTGTATCTAATGCTATTGGACCAAGTGCTGCCTAAAATTATACAAAACAAAACAAAATTATTAATTTAAAGATTTAAAAAGAAAGAAAAATGAATATAAATAAAATTTAGTATTCATTTAGTCATTTTGAGGTCATTTGGCAAGAAAACTGCTATTATAACAAAAAAAAACAAGAAAAGAAAATAAGAGCGAATGAGAGGGAGAGAATGTATTGTTGTCATTTTGTGTAAAAAAAATTAAGAGTATTTTCAATTTAATTTCATTACTTTTGACAAAAAATTTTTATTAACTTCTTTTTATTCAATTTTCTTTATTTACTCAAACAGTTTATTTTATTTGCATTTTGTCTGGTTAATCAATATTCAATAGAGGATGAAAGGAGGTACAGAGAAAGTACTATAAAGGTCTCATACTAGATTTAATGAAGTAAGTGTGTACTGTGCTATACGTTTTGTTAATATTCTCAAATATTCGGCAATTCTGTCTTATGAAATGTCAGCCATGATAAGTTATTTTGGGAATAGGTTTCAAACTTCAGTAAGGCATTGAAAATAGGTTTTGAACTCCGGTAACCCATTGAAAATAAGATTAGTTTATTTGGTTTTTCAGTATTAATCTATTTGCACTTCATTTCATCAATGTTCATTTTTAGGATTTTTGCAAATGAAAACGACAACAAAATTATGATTTTAAACACGAGCTTTGAATTTAATTTTTTTTTCAAGCTTTTTCTAATAAAATCTTCATACTTACATATAATAACTTTTGGCATAACTTGCTTTTTTAAGTTTAAAATAGCCTCGAATCCAATATAAAACTCCTTTCTAATGCTGTTATTAGAAAAATAACTGTAATCTGTGATAATCTATGATAAGATCGACTATTTTACAATACTATTGCCTTTTATTTAATATAGTATAATAAGTTTTATCACTTTAAAATTTCAGTTCATTAATTTTATGATGGCAAAGCAAAAATTGTTCCCAGAACATTTTAATATGCGTAATAAAAGACACAAGAATCGTCTAATTTGAGAGTGTAATTTTAAAATAAACGTACTACAAGCATAATATTAAGGACTAATTTTTTATTATTTTCTAAATATTAAGAAAATTAAAATAGAAAAAATAAGAATTAAATATTAAAATAATAGATGGCGTTAAAAAGAATAAAATTAACATAAAGCCGGGCATTATTTGGCATAAATTGGCAATAAAAAATAAGCTTTAAAGTTTTTATTTGATTTTATGTTAATTTAAAATTAATTTAGAAAAACAAAAAATTTGAAATATTTTTTATACTTTAATTTCTTTAAGTTCTTTTTTTTTTGTTAAACATTTTTATAATTTGAAGAAAATTTAATATAGCAGCTAGTTGCAGAAAATTAAAAGAGAAATATTGTAGAAATTTTGCAAATTACTAATTGAAAATTGCTAAAGTTTTTCATTATGGGGAAAAAAAACAATAATCAAAATATTGCGAAAAGTTTCTTCTTTTATTAAGAAATTTCAATTTGACTTGAAATTAATTTAAAAAAAACATTACAATAATTTTATTTGCTTAAAGTTTGTACTCTTATTGTTGTTCCAATTTTCAACAGGATTTATCAATGAGTTTGAGTAACGCAGTATTTGTGAAATACTAAAATATATTTTGTATATGACTGCAAAGCATATGTTTTAAAATATCTAAAATTAAGATGATCATCCAGGGTTACCCCCAGATACTTCACCTCCTTAGAGTAACTAACACGTTCACCAAACAGAATTGGGCTCGTTGATCTATCCCTTCTTCTGCGTCTGATGAAGGCGACCAAAGTGGTCTTGCTTGGATTTATATTTAACCCAACGCCTTCGCACCACCTCTCCACTACACGTAAATTTTGCTGTAGAAGATTGGAAATAGTGCTCTCAAATTTTCCTCGTACGACGAAGACCACATCGTCGGCGTAACTCCAGACACGTGCCCCGGAGCCCCTAAGAGCAGCGATTAGATCATCCACTACAATAGACCACAGGAGGGGCGAAAGAACCCCGCCCTGCGGACACCCTTTTACAGCAGACATGAAGAATGTATCGTCAGCTAAGGTGGACTTAATAATCCTATCCTGTAGTATCCGACTAAACCATCTGCTAGTCGTCGCATCAATCCCTCGTTTGTGCAAAGACTCACAGATGACATGATATGGGGTGTTGTCAAAAGCTCCCTCTATATCAAGAAAGCAGCCAGCTGCCATCTCACGTGAGTTTTCAAGGACCCCCACCAGACTCTGCAGAGCGAGTACAGTAGACCTTCCCGACTGATAGGCGTACTGAGATTCATGGAAGGGATTGCTTCCCAGTGCATCGTCCCGTATAAATCTATCAATCACATTTTCCATTGCTTTCAATAGAAAAAGAAGTAAGGCTGATTGGACGAAAAAGACCTTGGGTGGTTGGTTGGTCGCTTACGCATAGCTGGCACGAAAAATTTCCAACAGTGCTCTGGCGAAACCCCTCTGCAAAAATGCAGGATATATCGCGTCATCACCAGAAGATTTGAAGGGACTGAAAGGGAAAACAGCCCATCTAATCCTGCCCATCGTGAAGACCAGACGGGATCGTTGGTTCAATGACCGCATTTGAGTGATTCCGAAGAATCTCCGAGTCAGGAAAGTGCGTTGACGCCATAAACTCCAACGTCTGCTTTCCGTTCTCAGTCATGGAGCCATCAGGCCGTTCCATTAGGCCCAACCGCCGCTAGCATACTTTTTGGAAAGCACTCTGTGAAGACGCGCACTGCTGGAAAGTTCATCAATGCCCTTGCAGAACGCTCTCCACGAAATTCTCTTCGCTTTCTTAATTTCTTTATTGTATTTCGTGAGTGAGTTTTTATACTCTTCCCACGAACCCGACGACTTGGCCTTATTTAATAGCTTTCTGGTCTTTAGTCTATGAGAACAATAAACAAATCCACAAATGCATTCTTAAAAATTATTCACTTGGAATCCAAATATTAGCAAAACAATTTGTAAGTTTGTGTGAATATTGAAACTTTGTGAATTATTTATTTCATTCTTATTTCTTTATAAAAATTAATAGTGCATAGTTTTAATTGTATGTTATAACAATTTACTGGGTTTTGTGATAGCCCCTAACAGATTATATAAAATTTTTCACAAAATGATTGAACCATTTTTGATTTCCCTAAAATTATGCAATGAAATTTGAGGCATCATATAGGGCAAGAGATTTTAAATTTCGAGATCTTAACATTTTTAATAATACGGAATGAAAATTAAAATTTGTAATATTGTTCGAAAAATGCTAATTTTACTATTTTGCATTAAAAAAACATTAAAATTTTTGCATTAAAAAAACAATGATTTCTACGTCACATACTTATATGTCATATGCTTCGTTTATTAATTAAGAGAAAATTTTTTTCTGGTTGTAACAAACAAATTTTTTGTTTGGTGAAAAAAAATCTCTCTATAGTATTTGTTCCGCAATAATTTTCCACTGAAAAATCGTCACTAATCTTCTTTCAAACAAACATAACTACGTAAACTACAATATGAATATTGCAAGTATCCACCATTTTCATATTAACATTATCATAATAATACACATATAAAAACCGTAATTTAATGTGAAAAAATAGTTAGCTGGTTCTCAAAATCCTATTCATAACAGTTTTACTTCAATATTATGTTTGCTTTTCTTTTTTTTTTGTTTTTCCTTATATTATTCTATTTTTCATACTTACTTGAACAGTTGCTTTTGGAAAACCAGAAATTGTAATGTAAGCACGTTCCTTCCATACCAATTTTCCACTGCCATATGTTGATAGAAAAGATGCGACTAACCGAAACTATTTTCCACATACAGATATATTGTGTTAATTTCAGTATATATGAGGGATAATTACAGATGTGTTTTGATTGTTGAAGAAAATTTCCGCCAAAATACATGAAAAATAAAAGACGAAAAATGTTATAAACCAGCAGATGAAAGTATATAAAATATATAAAGAAAAAAAAACAATAGCAATTAAATTGTGAGGAATATGAAATATACAAAGTAGCTGCACATGATGTAGGTATATATTGTTCGCAAAATCAAATTCTACAAAAGAGGATTAAAAATTGTGTACCTACAAATGTACATCAATGTGAATTAAACGACGTATGGACACTATTTAGTAGAATGAGTTGAGTTCTTCGTATGAAACTAAAGTAAGTATAGGAAAATATTTTATTAAAAGCAGTGGCATTTCATATTTTTGTTACTACAATCAACTTATTATTCAAATTATTTATTTTAGTTACAGCAAATGTATGAGTTGTGTTGAATGAAATAATTTCATTTCCAGATGTCCTGGCACGGTAGCCGTAGCAATCATCTAAATAATTTATCCAATTGATTTTACAGTTAAATTTTGTCCCCTTTTTAATAGAAAATAAGCGTTTTATGTAAATCTACAACTACGAACTTTATATAAGAAGAAATAAATTTGTTGGATGAGTACTCAACTCAAACTATAAAAAAGTTGGACGTCAATTAAATTGTCCTATCGAAAACGATCTCAAATTTTCTTTTAGAATTTTTGGAAAAAGAAATTTTACAACGATTACCTCTCATCGAGCCAATTAGATCAATTGATATTTATAATATTATTCAGCATATGAACACAATTTAAATGTGAATAAGAAAAACTTTTAACAGTCCTTAGTCTCAAAGCATTCCCTTAAATATATAATTACAATATCCGACTGAATATATTGAATAAAAAAATGTCTAAACCTCTCACTGCTAAATTTTTTCATATATATACGAATAATGTACAAGATTGTGTATATGTCCGCATTTACAACCTATTCTATCATTATATAGATAGGAACCATACAAATGTGCAAAAACATATGTAGAAAAAGGGAAATCATTAGTGTTTTATCTATTATATAAAGAAAGCAAAGTACCGTTTCTTGTCTTAATAATAAAGCAGTAACCAACAGTATAATTATATCATAAAATTAATTTAAGAGTTTTCTTTTTTTTGTTTTCGGGTTTTATTCTCCTTTTTAGCTGTTTTTATTGATGCGGTATCCTTAGTAAAATATTTTGCTACTTATTATTACATAAATTGATATTCAACAAAAAAAAAAAAATAAAACCTGAACAAAAAATATTTTCTCCTATTTATTTTATTTTATTATATTTTTCCTCCATTCCTTTACAATCAATAACACTATTATCATCAGGATAATAAAACGTATAGTAATATTGATAATGATTATGATACAACTATCTGTATATATAGAATGTAGAAAAATGATTATCATGTAATATGTAGATCTTAATTAGTATGTACATATATTCAAAAAAAATTTCATCATCGTCATCATCATCATCATCAACAGCATAATCATAATTATTATCAGAAGTTACTAATAAATTTGTATCATATTTTTAACCCGGAACATTGAAAAATGCTAATAATTATAGCTAACAGAATAATATTGTTATGTATGTAGTTTAATTGGAATATACATGAAGACGAGTAAAATATTTAACTATATTCACAATAAAATACTTTTGAAATTATTTTGAAGGTTATTTTATAAACAGAAAACAGAGTGATTCGTTAGAAAAATTCGAAATATGAAGTAAAAAATTCGAAACGAAAAATTCTTTCAGTAATTTAGTTTAACATGAGGTGATTGTAATTATCAAACCAATAATTTGAAATAAAGAAGTAGAAGATACAAGTTATTACAACACAATTTCAAAAATATTCCTTAATTAATAATAAATAGACTGAGTTAAAATAGTTTGTTACTGAGGGTTGACGAAGAAGACATTATATTTTTTGTACACGCTGTATATAGGAAAATGTTAAATTTTATTATACAAAATAATTTCGTTATAATTAAATTTTAAGAAATAGTATGCAAAATTATTAATTCTAGTACTAAATATAATATTATGTGTGTATGTATATTTCGGTTTTTGAAAAACAAAATAATATTTATTAAGTATAATTTAATAATGTTATTCGTATTCTAACAACACATACATACATAATGTGTATAACAAATAATGAAATGATATAAATATTTGTTATACATATTTTTAAATGATTATAGAGGTGCATATTCAAATTTATGATAGAAGTGTTGCCGTTCTTAGAATATTACGCTGCACCAAATCAAAGATTTATAGGAACTTTTTGCTGAAATCGTATAATTTACCACGGTTATTATACATTTTCTATATACATAATATGCATGTGTATAGTAAAATTGAGAAGCTTCATAATAGCTAAACTTATTTTGAGAAGCAAAACTATTAGATTGTACAAATTATTTCATTTATACAAGTGATTTACGTGTTTACATAATAAGGTTTTAAAAATGTTAGCTATCAATGTGTAAGTACTATTACTAAAGTGACTCTTTTAGCTCTTAGAATATAGTCCCCAATAAAACAAGAAATTTAAATAAAAATCTATAGTGAAAATAAAACCGTTTGAACTTCTAAAAAAATTTTAATTAAAATTAAAATAATTATGGTTAGTGTAATACTCCTTTTTGCATAACCGACTTCAATTTAGTTTGAAATTAAACAGTATCAAAGTTAATTATTAAAATCAAGAGCTGAGTATAGGTAAATTTCGGTAAAATCTATACTCGTTTCGGTACTCTGTAACATTATCGGCAACACTGGCGCGTTTCACACATATACAGAAATGTGGGTGCATATATATGAATTTATATGAACAGTACATAGCTATATGTACATTTATAAAAAATTTTTATTATCATTGTTATGCCAACAAACAAAAATAATAATTAATAAATATTTAATATTAATTATAGTAATATTTGTCATTTTCTTAATAAAATTTTTCTTTTTCTAAAAAAAAAAAAACAAAGTAGTGAGTGAAATTCGTAGTAATCAATTGTAATAAGGATAATGAAATGACAGTAGTTATTTTGCCAAAAATAAAATATTTAATTTAATTAAATTAGAATTATACGCCCACCAGCTAACAATAAAATTAAAATGAGAATAACACAAAAAATTCAAGAAAATCTTTAATAATTTCCAAATGTTTGTTCGGTTAATTTTATTACGATTATTCCATCTTTAGCGCAACAGTTTGGTAAAATTATTGCGTATAAACTCTTATATAATTATTTTATAGAATTAAAAAATTTCAAAAATTCAGATTTAAATTGAAATTTCCGATTTTTAATTATTTATATTATAAATTATTAAAAAATAATTTATAAATATTATAAATATATTATGCTAATTAAATTAATTATTATACGTACCACACATCCAATTATTATTACGATAATACCATATCCAACTAAAGTAGGATTTAATACAGAAAAATTACATTCTTTTCCAATTAATGAAAATGATACGGGCTTCAAAAATTTCCATGTTAAATCAAGTCTCTCTGTTACTTGAAAATTCACCTGAGAAATTAAAAAACAAAAATAAAATTTATTATTTAAAGCTATGAACACCTTACACACATTTTGTCCGTCCAGTTATTACAAAATATAAATTCTATTTTTAAAATTGATTGAAAAAATGTTATAAGAATACACACAAATGGAGAAATTATAAGTTGACCATTTGAAATTCTTCAATTTTGGAAAATTATTTTTTGATTAATAAATTACAATTTTTATTCCATAAAATATTGTACTTTATTTCAATGTTATTACTCGAATAATTTAAAAAATTTTCAATGACCGAACATGTCCCTCATATATATTCGTCGTTAGATTCAGTCAATTCAATCAATTCAGTCCATGTCTGTCCATGACTCTAATAATTTGTTTTTGAATACTCATTTAAGAACAGAAAGAGTTAGAAAATTGAAAGGTTATGCTTATTATACGTGCATTCTCATCAAATGTTTTATAGATTTTAAATTATAACACAAAAAACCGAATCGTGTATTTCGCCTTTTCATCTCATTTCTCATTCACCTTCTACTTCAGAATTCTCCGTTTTTCTCCGGGTTTTTGTATTTTTTCTCAATTTATCGACTGAATGTCTCATCTTCAAGAGCAAAGTGAATAAATTTTTTATATATTTTAGAATAAAAACGAAATATGCAATACGAAATAATTATTCTCACTCGAAAATTACATTATACAAATATGATAGCTACGCACTTTCCGGGTAAAATACCGACGATCAGGTATTTAAATTTAAATATTTAATCACAAAGACCATTCGTAACTTTAAAAAGTAAAAAAAAAATGACAAAGGAATAATCAAAAATAAATTGCGTACATAAATGATTGACAATGAATAAACGTCACAGTCAAAAAAATTCAAATATTTTTTTTTGTATAAGGTCTCTAAGTAAACCACAACTAATTAGGTACCATATCATATAGAAGTCAAAATAAAATGTCTTAAATAAAATGATGTTGTAATTTTAAATTTAAATTTAAGGAAAATAAAAAAAATAAAACTTAAAATATTCTTTGAAGCGTAAACTTAATTAAAATCTTATTAAAATAACAAATTAATTTAATTCTCTTATTTTCTATTCCAAAATATTCACAATTTACATACCTTTTTGAGTTTTATTCTTTAATTTATATATAAAAAATTAAAAACATTTATTTAAAGGTAAATGAATTATACACAATATTTTTCTATACAAGAATCTTGAACAAATAATCGCATTTTTAATGAAGTTTTTTTTACAGAAAATAATTTAAATATTTAAATATGACACTCCGTTTCCCTCACTTTCTTATATCCTCAAAATTTTCTTATAATGTTATATACATAAGTATATACTGAATATATAGCTTAATTATATAAAGAGTTTTCTTTCTACATTTTTGTTTTTGTAGTTTCTAATTTCATTATACTGAATCCTTCGTAAATTTTTTGAATATAATATTATTACAATAACATTTAAATTAAATTAAGTAAAAAATATCTATGTATATACTTATATGGTATATGCATATTATTTTAGTGTTATATAGTTTAATAAATTCATACAATTAAATTTAATTCACAGCTTTTGATGTGAATCACTTTGAAAGTGGTTTTCTAAAAGAAAGTGCGAAACATTAATATACTTTATATTATTCAATTGTAATTTGGTCAACAATTTTAATTAAAATATTTTTAAAAAACGTCAAAATAATGAATTTTTGGCGCCAAATTACAGAGTGATTCAAAAGATTGATTTAATTTATAATTTGAAATATTTTGAGATATACTTTCCTGTATAATACAAAATATTATTTTGCAAATTGAAGAGGTAAATGGACAAAAGGCTTAACTAACATTTAGACGAAAATCGAACTGCTCGGATAGACAATTATTAAATTTCATATATTTTCAACTGTGATTACTCTTATAGCTATAGAAACTTAATAGAAGAAGAGAATAACAGTGCATATATGAGTTAAGTAACAAAAAAATTAATAGTTTTGCAATTTGTTAATGAAAAAATGTGTTAAGATGCAAATGTAATTTAACCCCTTTGTCCACTTACCGCTTCAATTTTTTCCGAATAAATAAGGCAATTAATTCGGCATAAAAGTACAGAGTTATTAAGCGTTTTTAACGCTAACTATACAAATATAAGAATAACAATTAATCAATGTTTGAATTGTTCTTCGAATTTCTTTAAATGAAAATAAGGTGTGTGTTCTCATATTTTATTCTATCCATATTTAAAGAAGACGTTATTGTTCGTATTTCGCTACACTAGTAAAGAAAATTTGAATTAGTGGGTATAAACTGTAGTTCGTTATAATTTCCAAATAAAAACTAACATTAAAATAGAATATGGCAAGACCAATTCTATATATGACAAGAATACAAGTGTACAAGCTAAAATTTAATACAAATTTTAATACTTTCTTAATATTGAAAATACTTTAGCTCCTCCATTCCTTCAACTATGGAAACATTTTGTACGATATCCAAAAATTCGCACTAATTTTAATTCTTTTTATTTTCACATCTACATATTTATTAATATTAATATACAAAAATGAATTTAAAATTCAATGGCGAACATAAGTTCAAAGAAATTCTATTTTATTCCATCGTGTTAGATAACAAAAAAAAACTTCATTTTTAAAACGCAATAATAATTGTTTGAAATATTTTATAACAATTTTCGAATTCTTTTGAAAAGCTACCAGAGTCTCGTAGCTTTATATTTGATTTTAACTTCATCTATTTCATTAGTTAAAAGTTTCCTTTTTTTTCACATTTTTCTTTTTTTGTTTTTTCATCTTAATTAAGAATTCTATCGTTACTATCGTGATTACTATTAAACCAGAATTTTTTTTATAAAAACAAACAAGGATAGAAATAATGTAAATGGGTAGAGAGAGAAAGAATGAAAGTAGAAAAAAGAGAACAAAAATAAGAACAAAATGTTAACAGTTCAGACCGCGACTTTTTGGCATGCTGTAATTAACCACTATCTTTACCACTAATGTACCATTGTTATTTTGTCTTTCTGTTATTGTTGTTACTGCGTTATTCTTGTTATTGTATCAAATTTTCTTTCATTCATTAAAATTTTTAACACGCATTCATTCTCCCGATTCGTTCGGTTTTTTCTTAGAATATTTTTACATTTTTCCGTTTTATTGTTTTTTTTTGTTTTTTACATGTAATGTACATAGTTGTTTGCCTTTGTTTTTATTGTATTACTATTTGATTTCTTGGTTGATTATATAGAATAGTCTTTAAAACGTTTCAGAATTTCTTTTAGCTTTTATCCCAATAAGAATATTTAATTTTTATGGCATGAAATAATATTTAGAAAATTAATTCTTTTTCTTCTCGGCTAAATAAACGAATTCATTACTTTATTGTTTGTTCTTATTTTCACTTTATTTTCGAAATTTTATGCATGTTTGTGTAATTATATTGCATTGAATTGTAATTACGAAAAAAGTACGCTTTAGAAACAGAGAATATTACAATAAGATTTTAGCAGGACTACTGAAATTTGGTACTGGTCTGAAATTAATTTTATAAGAGATTTAAAAATAGTTCCCCTATAAATATGCAATGCTTGTTATAAATTTAATAAATAAGCAAATCTTTTACAGTTTTAATAAGTAATCTCTATTCGTACTATGTTCTATGAGCGTTAGAAGTAATAGCCGTAAATAAACTTCCTTTAAATTAATTTTATGGGTAACCACTAGTGATAAGCAAGAAAAAATCGTTCTTTATTTATACAAAACTTTTTTTGTTACTTTTTCTACTCACATGTTTATCATTTGTAATTTTTCCTTTCCATTGCGTTCCAGTAATAAAAGCAATTGTTACGCAACCAAGAACTCCAGCTGATGGATATGCAATAGCTTGACTTCCTTTAACACAAACCATTCCACCAAGAACAATCATTAAGTACCTTAAACCATTAACGTATTTCTAAAAATTGCAAAACCAAAAATTATTATTAAGAATTCAAATTTTTGAATAATTAAAAATTAAATGAGGTAAAAGAATGTCCAAACATAAGCAATGTTAATAATTCCTTCGACTAAAATGTGAATTAAATTTAATGTTAAAGGTTAATGGACTTTATATCCACTAGCTTATGTTATCAAGATTGAAGCAACATTGACAATTTTGGGAATGGGGAAATTTAAGAAATATTGTATACTTACTGAATTATCTGAAGGTAGTTGTAAAACTAAAATAGAATATAAACCTCCAAATACAATTCCAACACCAATACCTACTGGACCCTGTAATAACTGATCTGATAATGATCCTATATCGTAAAAATATTAATAAAATATTAATTAAAAGCCGTAATATTGTAAAACCAGTAAAATTTCACTATTTTAGAATTCATTCACTATTTAATTTCTTACTTACCAGTGGAAAATATAACACCATTTAAAACACCAAATAAAAATATGGCAACAACATCATTACAAGTTGTCATGGCGTATATAACTGTATGAATGCCATTATTTAAACCTAAGCGATCTTCCTTTAATTTTAACATTACCGTGACAACAACATTTGGTGATACTGCAGTTATCACAAGTCTGAAAAAAAGAAAATATTTTTATCAGTCACTTCAAAAAACAGACCTTTTTTTAATTAAAGTAAAAAATTATTAAATTTTTCCAAAAAGAAGAGCTGAGAACAATACCAGGTGGAAAAATTAGTCAATAAATTAGAAATTAATTTATTCAAAATGCCTTATTTGACAGGTGTAAAGGTAAAAGCAGATATAACTTGGCTTTCCGGCAAATATCTTAGAATAATAAAATTCTATTTCTAGTAGTTATTCTAAGATATTTATGACATATGGTTTTAAATAGGGCGAATTCTAAATAAAGCTTCTTTATTACGCTTCTTTATAACGGGCTAAGGAGTATGCTGACCGCTACGTTGGGAAGCATCTTTATTTATCACATGCATTAGGACTATTTTGGAGTACAAGTGTCAGGTTTGGTCGCCTTACCGTTCTTTTGATATTTCTAGAATCGAGTCCATAAATAAAAGACTACTCTCTTCGGCATTGCATGGTTTAAGTTTGTCGGATCATTTTAAACTTCCGCCGTATGACGATAGGCTTATCATTATTGTTAGAATTGCAGAGGTTTATAATCGGGGACGCAGTTTTTATTCATCAGCTTGTTTCGGGGAACGTTGTTTTGCCGTTTTTGTTTGGAGCAGGCGTCTTTTTGGGAGAATTTGAACAACTTGAGGTCGATAGATCTTTTCAATGTTCGTCATAACAGCACGGACTATGATAGAAATGAGCCGATGATTAGGATGTTGTGTACCGCCAATTCTAACTCTGGTTATTTTGATCTTGGTATTGATAAGGGTGCTTTGAGTTCTGTATTTTCTAGGAATTTTAATTTCGTTTAATTATTCGTTAGATGTCAGTAGTACTGTGAATCAACTCTTTTTTTCCTGCTATTTGTTTTTGTTCTTCCGCAAAACCTAATCCAAAAATTTTTGGTTCTCTTATATTAATAAACTTTAACCCTTTCACCATTTCCACTTTCACCAAGGGTGCATTTAAATGAAAATTGTTTTAGCTCTTCGTCTAAGCAATTCGTCTGATATAAAATAGTAAGGTGGCCCAATCGCAGATAACTCTTAGATTTTATATCTCGATATTGCCCACCAAAGATAGTCTTCCGTTTTTTTTAAATCAATTTAGAAGATATTTTTAATATTCATAACTGAATAGAAATTTAAGAAAACGGCTGTTTTAATAAATTAATTTATTGCAATATGCACGTAGATTTTACAAAAAGAAATGTGCACACCTGCTTAATAAATCATCACTTTTGTTGCAGTACCATTAAAATTTATAACAATATTAGATTGCACTAATTTGTACAAGCTCACAGCTAAACAAACTTTAACTACATATACAAAAACCCTTTAATTTAATTAAAAAAACAATAAAGTAATTTTAAACTATAATAAATAATAGGATAATGTCTATTTTGTGTACTTAATCAAAAATAAAGGTGAGAAAATTTTTCTTTAAAATAAGTTGAATGTGATAAAGTTTCTCATACACGCAAAATTTATATATAAAAACTTAAAGAATTCAATATATTATTATTATGTAATATGAATATTAAGAACGACTGGAATACGAAGAACTTCTTCAGACAATTTTAATAATTTTTCACAGACAGATAAATTTTTTTTTGCAATAAGAACCTCTAAAATTCATTGTGTAGCCGCACATATGTATAAATAGATATATTTCATATACATATTACATATTATTTATATTTATATATGAGTGTACTAAATAATAAATTTAAAAAAACTTGGAAAAATTTTTAAGGGTTTATACAAACTTATATGATAACCGTAGATTTTTCATAATATTTTTGATATTTGAAACTGAAGATTGTAAGATATTTCTTAAAAGATCGACAAAATAAAATTTCAAATACTCCCGAAAATGAACCTCAAATATTTAAATTCGAAAATTAGAAATCGAAATAAACAACATTAGTATGAAGTTTCGCCTGATAGTTATGCCTCAACGCTGCGATTTATTTTATTTACCAGGCAAGTGTAGAACAAGAGGAAAACAATACACTGAGCAAAAAAACAACCTAAATTCAAAAAAAACAACTTTGAATCAAAGTGAAATCAATATGATTTCCGAGTAAACGCGTTTTTTTTAATTCAAAAACGAACAACTTTGATTCTAAAATGCTAAATTTTCATTGAAAAACTACTTTGAATCAAAGTAGTTTCATATAGATTCAAAGATGGTACATTAATATTTTGAAAACGTTTTAACATTGTTTCTAAAATGTTCATTTTTAATTCAAAAATTAATTGATATAGATTTAAAAATGTTCGTATTTGATTTAAAAAATTTCATATTCGATACAAAAATATCGTTCGTTTTTGATTTTAAAATGTTTGTGTTTGATTTAAGAACGTTCGTATTTAATTTAAAAATGCTTAATATGCATTTGAAAACGAATATACTTACTTTTCGAAAATTAAATTTGTAATAATGCTGTAAAACAAAATCAATTCTGTAAATAAAGTCCCGTTTTTTAAAAAATTTTCCATATGGAAGTATTAAAATACAAACTATTATTTTATTTTAAAGCTTGTATTTTCCTATAAATATTACATACTTAATTATATATCTTATATTTTCACCTCCAATGAAATATATCTATATACTTATTATTTACATTATATGTTCTTATATCGAATGTAGGTTCCTCCATTATATATTTGACAGAAATTTTAAGGTGGACTAGTGAAATATGATATATTTTTGATATACATATTACTAGAACTTCCACTAATACAATACCACTGAAAATGTTCATCAAAATTTTAAAGTAGAAGTCCAATTGTATAATATTTATTTATCAGCTTGCTAGATAATAGCAAAAATATGAAGTTAAATCGGAAAACATAGCGGCCGATTAAAAAATAATTTAAATTTTTACCAGCTCAATAGCTTTGTCTAATTTTTCAGATTTTGAACTGTTGGTTAAATTATAGACGAAATGAATCTGCCAAAAAAGTTTACAAATTTCTTGATTATTTACTACAATAAAATTAACTTATCCCTGGTAATTGTCTAACATATTCCTCACTCTTTCAGGATATCTCATTTAATTTTTGCGGCGCCGAACAGAATTCTTCACTAACTTAGTATTCAAAACGTTCTAACGCTTTACTGCTTAGGAAAAATTTGATTTTTAAAATTTCGACAAAATATTAAAGTTAAAGTATGCTAGTATACGTAAAAATTTTTACTTATTTAGAACCCTTTTTCAATCGCCTTTTTTGAGGCATTAAAGGATGTATGAGAAAGAAATTTTAAAGAATGATGTTTTACATTTTTTTGCTTACCTTTTAAATGTATTAATAAAAATTTTCTAAAATGAAATATGCTTACAGTTATATGAAATATTGAACTTCCAAAAAAAAAAATTAAAAAAAAAATCCCCAAGGTAATGGTGCATAATAATTCAGATCATATGTGAAGAAAACCAACATGTTTGGTTAGAAAATTACGGAAAAGAATTGCAAAAAAAAATTTAAAAGTTTTTTTAGGAGGGCAAATTTTATATTTTTTCTAAAAGTTTTGGAGGAACCAAAAAGAAAACCAACTTTTATTTTTAAGTTGATTTAGTGGAAAATGCATTTAATGCTAAAAAGAGAGCATGCCGTAAATTTGCGAGGATTTCCGTTTTTCTTTTTCTCTTGTTTGTTATAATTTTATTTAGTTATAAATTTTAAGATTCTATTCTTTTTAAAAAAAAAAAATAAAGCAGAACATGATAAAGTTTAAGAAAATTAAGGAAAATTGTAATGTTCCTCTTGGAATTACAAGTGCCGCAGTAAAATCGAAAACGATTTATTCGCCCAAAGCAAATTTTAAAAGAATCTTGCGAATACAAGAACACTGTAATTAGGAAAACAAAATCATGTTGAGCTTGTCGAAACTTTTTTTTTTAGAAGTATTCTATGACTATAATGAACTAGAGTTCATTATAGTCATAGAATACTTCTTCTATGACTATAATTAACTCTACAGCGTAAACATTTTTAGAGAAGATTCAATCTAACAGAGAAAGCCTTTTGTTTTCGAATACCTTTTCACTAATTTGAAGTTTTTGTCGAACTTATAATAAATAACCAATCAACAAATTCTAGCTAAAAACTAAATAATCAAAATTTAAATATTAAATATGAGCATTTTTTCTTCAGCTCCATGTAATATTGCGAAATGAATCACAAAGTTGTCCTAGGCGAAAGGTGTTCTACGATGATAAGAGCCTCTAAATAGCAAATTTTTAAGTTCGGAATAACTGGGATACAACTTTAAAAGTGTTTACAACATCCAAAATCACAACTATGACGAGATGGCCGAAAGCTCCTCCGGGAATTTCAGTATAATATTTGTGCAATATAGCAATGTACAGAACAATTCATCGGCAATTTCTTTATACTTCTGTAGCTCAGTTGGAAGAGCGTGTATCTAGAAATTGGTGGGTTACTGGTTTGAGTCCAGTTCGAGGTGTACAATTTTTTAATTTCTTGTTCCTTTGCTTACGTCATCCATCTGTTTTGTAGTTGTATGAAGAAATTTACATTGCGTTAACACAATACTTGTTGTTTTATTTAACAAATCAAATAAGTGAATTAATTATCATATATCCTTTTACGTCATTTTGCATTCTTTCTTTTCAACACCTTCTTATACTTTACATTTCCCTTAGGAACTTTAATTAAAATTTAATCTGATACAAATGAAAGTGATATGAAGTTCCGTACTGTTCCGGAACTTCAAATTTATACAATTTTATTGACCTAATTTTAATATTGTTTTAAAATATAAGAAAATTTAAATTAGATTTTTATTTTTTATTATTTTAAATTGCTTTACGAGAATACTTGTAATATTAGAAGAGAACAAATTAAAAAATTCTACAAATCTAATTAAAAATATGGTCAATATTCTCAGAATATGAAAAAAAAAATCATTTGAAATTAAAATTGAAACCAAAATTATTTAATT